GTAAACTTGGTCTTTACTTCGCCGTAATGATAAGGTGGCGGGCGTTCGCGGCCTTGACTTGCAACCCTGCAACCAACCGCCTACCCAAGCCACCAGAACCCGGGTCTTGCAGACGTGTTGCTAGGACGCTCGGTGCAACCTAAGGGGAGGGGGAGGGGAGAAATAGAAGGCAAGAGAGGATTCAGGGGAAGAGTGAAAGGAAGGAGGGAGCTACGAGAAAGAGAAGGAAAGGGTGAAGAGGGGAAGGAAGGAGGGAAATAGGAGAAAGAGAGGGTAAAAGAGGGTTAAGGTGAAGCGAGGAAGGAGGGGAGGGAATCAGCTGAAGGTAGATTAAAACCCTTCGATTCTTCTCGACGTAGGATCGCGTAGGATCTCAGGATCCCTCGTTGTCTTGGCTGGAGGAAGGGGTGCCTGGTGCTTGCCTGAAGTCGATCCAGCGTATCCTTCGGGTTGGCCGGCCTTTTGTCCTCCTTCTCCAGGATGTTGACGGAGAGAGGATGACGCGCCGCCGCTGTTATCGCGTCTTGACCTTCGCGTGTTTCTTTCTCTCCCTAAAAAAAATAGGTAAAAATGAAAATGGAGAATAAAAAGAAGAGAGAGAGAAAAAAAACTCTATAGAGATGTCATGGATATGATTTGCAGACGGTTTCAGGTCTTGAGAGAAAGTATTTATAAGTTTCGAAAACACAATGACTTAGGCCTATTTTGACCCTACGCCTTATATAGATTTCGGGATTCATAAACGCCTTACCATATTGAGCTTTTTTTCCGTAGGCGTTCAAGGTAGGGAAGGCCACGGGCGGCCGGAGTACCCGAAGGAGAGTGGGCGGCTGGGCAGGGGGGGGGGGCAAGGGAGAAGGTTGAACGGGGGGGGGAGTACATGACCTTGAGGGGGTTACCAATGATCGCGATGCATGTGACGAAATACTCAGTGTACTCAAGCTAATACTAATGCAGAGTAGACGGACAGATAAGGGCGAATTTGTAGTGGATTCAAGAGGGGAAAATGACCCTTTCCTCTCGCTTGAATCTTCCACGAGGGAATGCGACGTCAGTTCATGACAGATGCAAGTTGTCATGATCTGCATTATGTCAGCGCATGACGACCTTCCGCTGGTTCTTACTAGTCTTGCTCCTGATACTGTGGTTCTTATTCGTAACTGTTTTTTATATAGAACTGTTCATGACGCACATACCTGGCGAGCTCTGAGGTGAGCAGCCAACAGTCGCAGGTATTTCCCTTGAGATTGCGGCTTCCATTCGTCTTTCGAATTGTCTAGCTGTTTCTAGTCATTTTCTCTAAAACAATACTTGTGTCTAAATTCTTTGATATATAAGGGCGATGCAATCCCATCCCCAAACACACACACACACACACACACACACACACACACACACACACACACACACACACACACACACACACACACACACACACACACACACACACACACAGAATCACGAAACCAGTAAGCGAAGCAAGCAGCAATTGCCTCGAATCCCCGACTTCTTTCCGTAATAGCGACGCAATTACGACCCGAACGGCCTCGGGGAAATATTAGAAACGCCACAACTGGGTCTTCGAACCCTCGCATATGGAGCGGACGACGCCTCACTCCCGACGAAGGAAAACGCTAATTGCAAAGGGTGTTGTTAAGGCTCAGTTTCCAGGTGCTTAAGGTGCTAGATCTCACTCCTGACGAAGGGCCGGCGCAGGGAGGTAAGGGGCAGGTCATAGGGTATTAGGGATAAGGGGGAGGGGGAGGGAGAGGGTGAGTGGAGCAATCCTGTGATAATCTTATAAGTCGGGGAATTTTCTCTAAATTGAATTTTATTGTTGGTCATTCGGGGTTCTTGTTTCAAGGACGAGAACTCAAGGAGAAGAAAGAGGAAAACGATAAGGAAGAGGAAAAGGAGAAGGAGGAGGAGGAAGAGCAAGGATACGTTCGTTAAGATTTGACACAAAGTAAACCTCCTGAAAATACGTACATGCGAAAAAATAATATAAAAAATAATATATAAATGAATAAACAAGATAACAGAAATAATAACAGAATCGATGAAAAAAACTTTCGGAAGGAAGACCAATGCTGTAGGAAGTGATTCGTGAATTTGCTAAGGAGAGCGACGTGAGGAAAAGAAGTGGAAGACGGAGGCGCAGAAGAAGAGAAATAGATGAGGAATGAGTAATTGTATCTGGAAGGCCGTTGTGCTCTGAGGAACGCTGCCCGAGGGAAGAGGATGTCATGATAAGGGCGCTGGAAGGGCGTTGAAAGACCTTGAGAATCCTTCGCGAGACCAGGGTGCGAGGAGGAGCCCGGCAGTGGGGGGGGGGGGGTTAAGCGAGGGAGAAGGGGGTGAGGGAGATAGGTGGTGCTAGGGGAGGGGGGCGTGTGGGGAAGGGTTTGGCGAGGGGAAGGGGAGGGGGTGTGGGGATAACAAGGAGGGGCTTTATAGACACTGAAACCCTAGTGGAGGCGAGCAAAGATGGGGGGATTATCTCCACCGCCACAGGAGTTGTCCATCGCCCCCGTGTCCTTTATCCGCGCCCTTCGTGCTCGGCCGCTCATGGAAGGAAAGTTGATGGAAATTTCGAGAGAGAAAGAAATTAGGAATCACGCCCTGTTATGTCAAGGTCGAGCTTCTCTACCCGTGCCTTCGCGAGGCTTTTGTCCGGGGTGAAAACACTTCGCAAGTCGGGTGTGGAGGGACTTGCCTCCACACACGTTCTCTGCTTCTTCTCTCTCTCTCTCTCTCTCTCTCTCTCTCTCTCTCTCTCTCTCTCTCTCTCTCTCTCTCTCTCTCTCTCTCTCTCTCTCTCTCTCTCTCTCTGCCCACTTCTACTTATCTGCCAGTATTTCTCACTCTTTCTTACAACTATCTTGCTTGTCATTCATTCCTGTTCCTCCTCCCTCTAATCACTAATCTTCTAATCCGCCTTTCTCACGGCACCTGCCTCTCCTTCCCACACACCCTCATTCTATTTCCTCTTATTCTCCCTCTCCATCCACTCCTTTCACAATGGCTCGCAACTCTCTTTGTTCAAGCAGAAACGCTCAAAGAGTCTTGGGTCAACCGTAGGGCTCCGCTGCATGACAAGCCTCTCCTGCTGACGAAGGTATATTTGAGGACATGACCTGTTCATGAGCAGGACCTTTGTCTGGGCTATCGGGTCGTCAGGGGCTGCGCTGTGTTGTCCTGGAGTCATGGTCTGGAAGGTCTTAACAATGCTGAGCTCTTGACGGATGCGTTCTTTTATTCTCGCATCCCAATTAAGCGTCGTTTCCTTGCTGTTAAGACACTGTTGGAATGAGTATTCAGGGAGAGTATGGCAGCGCTAATTGGATGCAATCAGTGTAAATAAAAGGAGGGAGGTCTCAGGGTCACCAGGATAAGGAGTGGCGAGGAGAGACAGGGCGGGCGAGGAGAGGGACACGGCGGTCTGGGGACCCGAGAGGACGCGATGTTGCACAATCTGACGGCGTTTCACTTGCACTTTTGTCTTGTGGAAAGGGCAGAGTCACGCCCGTCAAGCTTAAGAGGCGCCAGCAAGTCCTCAAAACGAGGAAAGGGAGAAGAGAGAGGGGGGGGGGATAGGGGAAGAGGGGAGGGAGGAGAGGAGGAATAGGGACAACGTGAAGGACAGTAACTGTATCCCTATCGCCGTACATCCGGGATTTCCCACTCGTTCTGAGGTCGACGTCGGGGCGCAGGCTCGAGGCTGACCTGGCTTTGCATCTCGGCCTCGGGAAAAGTTCCACATGATGCCTCCTTCAAGAATGTATCCAGTGAATAACATATAATATAAGCGTGAATAAGGTGAAGGGAGACAGGTGTGTGAGTCACAGAGAAAACGGGACAAGTTGTGAGCGTGGGCTGGTCCCTCACACGATCATCAGTGGGCGAGTCTTACAGGCTTTCCTTCTAACTCGTTTTGCGAGCGTTTCGCACAGATGGCATGTTCGCAAATTCTCCTTGGCGTTCATTATAAATAAGGTATATTATAGAGAAGTCAATCCCCATAATGAAAAGTAAAAGGAATGGTTTAGCTTGATATTTGTAAGCTAGTGAAGCAACACATGACGACTTGGCACCTGATGTTGCTGTCCTTGACAAACCAGGCGCTCCCACGTACGGGCTACTGATACCGTGCGTGCCCGGTTATATTCAACGCTCCTCCTGGCTCAATGCTGCGTTTTCGCTTGCCGTGAAATACCCACACCATCAAGTAGATCACTGTATTTCCCTCTTCCAGTCGCCTCTCACTGTAAGGGAGCGCAGGAACACATTTCTAAAAGGGATTCACTATCCGAACGAGGACGCCGAGGAGCCTCTGACACCGTCCGGCTGCCAGGCAACTTTTGCCAGGCTGGACCGAGTGAATAATTTATTCACGCTGACGTTATCTCGCTAAGACAAACATGAGACTTTATTCATCATGATTGTATAGACAATATAAAAATAACGCGCATTCTCGTCTGCCTCGAATCACGAAACAAACCACGCCTCGACGGGAAGCCAAGAGGAGGCGGAGGTCTCTTTAGTATTTATAACATCTCCCATACTTGGTAAGCGGGCCGCTATCCCTGGCAAGTGTGTTGATGTTTGATGTCGCGTCGTTGTACATTTGGCAACGCATAAGAAGTTGCCGCAGGGGGATGTACGATACTATTTAACCACGGAATTTACATGCTGCTTTTATTATATGAGCACGAGAGATTGTATATATATTCAACAGCATCTAATTTTGCTCCCTAAACTCTGATTTATTCTTCAAAATGAACGAGGATGATGCACCAGAACTTCATAACTCGCAATAAATAAAATTACACATATTACTCAATGTACATAACCTTTAACACAAAACACCTTCTTCACCACAAAGAAAAAAAGAGAACTACATGAAACATAACTCATACATATTAATGAATAATACTCCTAACCCCAATAATTACAATTTATCCATAAAACTAACGCCCCCTTTCTCTTTCTCTTTCCAGGTTTCTGCTCAAGTGAACTTAGGACAAGGACTTCAAAGCGAGATATTTTTCTTAAATTTAGAAGACGGCTACTTCGGCTGTCAAGTGAACGAGTCCACAGACGTACTTCAATTGTTCGAAGTGTCGAGACTTTGTGATGGGACTCCGAACTGTTTCTTAGGATCTGATGAAAACGCCCGAGAACTCAAATGCACAAGTAAGTATCATTGGCGTCTTTATTGACTTTATATATATATCTAGTGTGTATATGTGTAGATAGATAGATAGATAGATAGATAGATAGATAGATAGATAGATAGGTTGGTAGGTAGGTAGAGGAGAATAGAGATGGAATATCTAACTCAGCCATACGAAAAAAATGATTCAATAGTTCCTAAATGATGAATTTCCTAAAAACAAACAAACAAACAATAAAACGCACCAATCAGCTTTTAATAAGCAGAAAAAAAGAGAACCAAATACACTTCTAATCAACCCAACGACAAAAACTTTCACTATAGAAAAAAAATAGAAATAATTCAGCGTGTCACTAGAGCTCGATGGTCAACGGCCTATATATTATCAGCCTTGATCTGATATCCTCTGTTCCCATTTTCTTTGGAGGAAGAAAATAGAGGACGGGAAATAGTCCAATTTTCTTGGATTGACCGCGACACATTGACCAAATAGGAAATATGGGCCATGAATGGGGAAGAAGTGGATTGTTTGTTTGTCTATATAGAGTATTTGCTTCGTTTCGATGTGTTTATAATCGATTGATTGTGTGATTTGAAGTGATTTCGAGGTGAGATTCTTTATAAAGTTGTTTTTTTTCCTTGTCGATATTGTAAAAGCTATTTGATTATCTGTCACTGCGAATAGAACAACGATTAATTGACGACTGACTGCCTGATTAATTAATCGGCAAACGTAACTAAGAAAGGAGAAGAGAGAAAGATTATAGAATAACTCTCCCCTCATAAAAAAATATATATCAAATCTCAAGAAAAAAAAATCACCAGCCATCAACCCAACTCCCTCCCCCCCCTCTACCTTTCCCCCCCTCCCCCCCTCGCCCCGCCCCTGAATCCAAAGACGACCAACAAAGAGGAAAATGATTCCTCGACCGAATCCTTTGTCTATTCGCTTTCTTCCGACTATCTTGACCGGACATGGCATTCACTCGCCGAGGGAAATTACGGCAGGGGGAAAAGTCCTCGCCGACGCTGCCTTCCTCCCCGCTGGCCAAATGTTGCGTTTCCTGAAGGTTTCTCAAGAGAGATACGTACTGTTTGTGTGCGTTTTCTTTGAGATGCTTGTGGCCGCTGGATTGCTTTGTGTTTGTGTGTTTTTTTCTTATTATTATTTTTGTGTACATCGTTTTTTTTTTTTTCCCTTTTCTTCTTGTTCTTCCTCCTCTTCTTTCTCCTCCGCCTCCTCCTCCTCCCCCTCCTCCTTCTACTCCTCCTCCATCTCATCCTCCCCCTCCTCCTCTATCTCTTCTTCTTCAATTCCCCCTCTTGCTCTTCCTCCCTCCCTCCCTCCCTCTATTCTTACTTTAAACACAGAAAATGGAGGTCGGGTGAGAGAGGAGAGTGTGAAGGGGAGGGTAGGAGAGGGGAGGAGAGTAAGGACGGGAGGGGAGGGGAGAGGAGGAGGAGGAGGAGAAGGGAGGGGAGAGCAGAGTAAGGAGGATAAGGATAATGCGATATGCGAAGCTGTAAGGAGGAGAGAGTGAGAAGTGGAGTGGAGGGGAGAGAGGGGGAGAGGGAGAGGGAGAGGGGGAGCGGAGAGGGAGCACAGTATCTCTTCGTCCCGTTTTCTTTATCACCATAACGAGTCATGTCATTAGGAAATCACCAGTGACCCACAACCTGTCCTTGTCAAGGCCTTGTCGGGGCATTGAGCTCATAGGGGTGACGGTGTAACATTGCAGGGGCATTTCGTGCATCATTGCAGACAGGGGATTCTTTAGTTTTTTTCAAGCTGCAAAGAAAGACAGATGGAAATACCGAGAGAGAGAGAGAGAGAGAGCAAGAGAGAGAGAGAGAGAGAGAGCGAGAGAGAGAGAGAGAGAGAGATTTTTTATCTCCTAAATCTTATTGTTCGCCCTGTAGATTATACCTCCTATAACCCAGACACTTTCTAAAAAGAAAAAAAAAATCAATTATCATTCTTGTTATCTAAAAAAATATGTACAAAAAAGAAACAACGATAGTCACAATATGAAAAAAAATATATACACCAAAAAATCTGGATCTAGGTCAGTGTCCGCTGTCAATCAGACCAAAATGACGGCATGTCCAGATATGGGAGGCCCGTTAACGCATTAGTGAGGGAAAGGAGGAAGGGAAGGAAGAGAGGAAGGGGGGGGGGAGGAAAGAAGGAAGATAGAGAGGAGGAGGAGGAAGGGAAAGAAGGAGAGACAAGAGAGATTGAAGGGGAGGGAGGACGGAAGGAAAATGAATAGAGAAGGAAGGAGGTGGAAGGGAAAATAAGACAGAAGGAAAGGGGAAAGGAAGGAAGGGAGCACGAAAGGAACAGAGGGAGATGAGAAGAAATGATGAGAAAGAGGAAACATAAGACGGATAAAAGGTAAGAAGGGAGGGAAGCAAAGGAAGGACGGAAGGAGGGAGGAACGAAAAGAGAGAGCTATTGTCTGCATAATCAACCGACCCTTCCCACTCCCTCCCTCCCTCCCCTCTCCCTCCCTCTCTCCATCTCTCCATCTTTCCTCCTTCTTCCTCTACTCGTTAGCGATCTCTCCTTCCGCCTCCTTTATCACACTCCATCTTCTTCTGACCTTTTCCTATTACGATTATCAGCCATTTCTCTATTTGGTCTCCCCTCTCCCTTTCTCTCGTGTTCTACTTCTTCCTTCTTTCGGGGAAGATAAAGGGACGGATAATTACTCGGGTCATTTTCGTGAAATCTCGGCTCTGTCATTATAGATTTCCACATTTCGAAGACGATCAAGAGAGAAAAAAAACAATCTTTATTATCATTTCATCTTTAAATTATTATTATTTTTTTACTTTCTTGTCATTTCTGTGATCATATTCTTTATCGTGTCTAATATCAATTTACTTTTTTTTCTATTATCATTGCTTTTCTTAATCATATACATTGTATGATAAAATGCAACAGAAAGGTGAATGTGCTACCATTACCTCGAATATATGAATAAAAATAAGGTTAGGTACCCTT